TTTTTTTTTCTACTGGCTGAGGGGTGGAACTTTCATCTTATTAGTAACTTTGCGTCAAATCCTTTGTTTGTATCGTGTTTGTGCAAATATTTAATTTATTATTGTTTTTTAAATAGTCATTTTTATTACCGACATATAACTAATCTCATGATTTGTTCAAACATTTCTCTACAGCATAAAATATCGCAGGCTATAATGGTTCCCGAACATTTCCTCGCTTTTTAAATTGATTTAAGTACCATTAATTCATTTCTTGATACTTGTTGGCATCAAGTAGTAAACTAATGTGATTATTTTAAGTGGCATGTTTTGTTGTTTAGTTTCTTTAGAGCCTCTTTTAAGTAGTTTTAAACTTTTTCTAGCTCGACAGAAGCTTGCGATGTCGCTGATTTAGCTTTGGCTCGAGCCGAGGAAGAGGCTCGTCTTGGCATCCCATTGCACTCGGATGAGAAAGAGGAGGAAGAGTTTCCTGAACTAGACGACTCATCTGATAACCGATTCGAAAGCAGTATAGGATGCCAGGACAAGTTAGACGACGTTAGTGACTCATGTGGAATCACGAATAAGCCGAAAAAAGGACGCGATTTGCCACCTCCTGCCTGGTACGAGGCAAGTTAATGATATAATAACATCACCCTTTCTGCCTTTAAATGTATATCGAATGGGTTTTTCATTTATTACATTTACGTATTTTGCACGGATATTTATGTTGAGCTTAGTTACATTTAGAGTGAAAGTGTTGAGTAAAGAGATTCGAAGGTTGTCTCTACCAGAAGACGAGGGCGGATTTCTCTTGACCAGCTGCCAATTGGGTTTACTGAAAGATTCATGCTGACGCTGTTTCTAAGGTAATCTTCTTCGATTCCGATGAAAAGGAGCTAAGCTTTCGTACGTCAAATGATTAACATCATCAGAGCAAGGTATTATCGTCACAACAAAATTCAAGCCAACTAGTCAATAAAACTCACCAGCAAATCTTTAAAAAGTGTTATATATACTCTACATCTGGCCTCTTTGATCAAGTATGAAGTGATTTT